GAATACACTCAGCTCCAGAGAAACATGCTGGTTCACAAACATTTCACTCTTAACTGGACTCAGGATCGGAATCAGTGTTGCAACAACTGGAGCACAGAAATATTGACCTGGTTAATTGGTGCTGACACACTGCAAGAAGCATGGGGCTGACACACTGGATCCAGAGGAAACCATAACAGCAGCTCTCATATTAAAGCGTAGATAAGACAGGCTGCATGGCGGCAGACTAAACATAAACAATCTGCAGGTATACTTTCAGAACTGAGGAATCTTTCCACTGCGGCAGCACAGCAAACTTGGTAACAGCTCATGTTCAGCTGGACTGATTTTCAGCAAAAGATTCAACACAGATGGAGAGAATACAACCACAACGATGTGCACACAGCTATAGCTAATACCTGTTTCACCACTAGTATGTACAAGCACACAGATTCTCATGTACTGTACAGTGTTGCCCATATACGCAATAGTAGCAGCAAAAACAAAAGCTGCACCATAGATAATCAGTCTTAAGTCCTCATCTAAACTACACCCGTTCTGTCCAATGCCTGCTGGCCCTGGGGATTGTGCTGGACTTTTAATCCACTTAAAAGCAGAGGACCTCTGCTGCTGTTTCCAAGGGGCTTGACCCACGATGAATGCGCACGCACACATGCACAAAAACAATCAGCAGCACAAGAATGCAGCCACTCCTCATAAACACACGCATGCATGTATAGTGTTAGGCACTGAGGTGATTTCACAAATGGAAACACGCAGTCTACACGTTAACCTATACTCAGATTCAAGGGTCCTGCTGAGATGTTTTAATCAAGAAATTCACAAAAACTACAGCCAAGTTGGGTCAAATCTCTGAATACTCTGCCTCTATAAGAGGGGCCACAAGGAAAACTCTAATTTAAACCTACAGTCTATATAGAAGGCTCAACTTGAGTGGATTTATTGAAGAGGGGTCAACAGTCATTCCAGCACCGTTCAACTCCACTTTCTAGTGTAGCTCTGTTACAGTGTGTGTTTGTGTGTGTTAGAGACTTCCCAACCTTTAATATTACAAGAATTTTTAATGGTATTTGCTTTCTTTTGTTCTTCTACACTAACACAAATGTAAAATAAACAACATGTACATACGCACACACATACATACAACACTGTTCATATTAATGTGGTGAAAACCAACTGTTTTTAAAATAATAATAATAATAGCAATAATTTCTTTAGAAATAAAAAAATATTCATGTTTTTGCTCGGGTTTAAATGGTTTCTTCTGTGCAGCCGACACATTGTCATACTTTTTTCTCTTCTTGCACCAACGTTTGTCGTTATCTAATTTGAAATGTACTAATTCCTTATTCTTGCGGAGGGAGGCTGAGCCACTGACTTGAACAGCTGCTTCATGACCCAAAAAACTGTCAGTCTTTCCCTGGAATAAATTGTGGAATATACCATCTTTGGGTACAGGGGGGAGCTGGAAAGGTCCGTTTTCAGGATAGCAGATGTCGCGAGCACGTTCGTACGTTTTGACCTGGGTAAAACTGACTACCTCTACATTATAAAGTCTAAACCTTTCAAACTGAACTGTTTAAAGTGTCATAAAGGGTAAACGCAAAGACTTGCTCGGAGCCAAGCTCCCCTGTGTTTCGGCGCTGAGTTTCTAGAGGACCCATAGTAGAATCAATTCAGCGAGAGGGGAGCTTGAAACCGTCCACTCATGCTTTCCTCCGAGTCTGAGAGAAACACAGTTGAAGGGAACACACAGACCAGTCGGCCGCACTACATGCTCACAACAGGCAGGCTCCCATCACTAACGAAAAACAACAGCAGCAGTCCCTTTGCATATAATTATTATAACACTTTACTGAAAACTATGCATATATATCCAGAAAAACGAGATACCACCCGTTGATGAGATTTTTTAAAGTTATTCTAGATGGCTTTTGAAAAGCATATGGGCTCAACTTTGGTTTGGAAACCACCTAATTAATCCTGTTAAAATAAATCTTAAAAATAAATTCATGTGATTATCAGAAAATACTCATACACAATGGTGTTTCCCCACTTTTAATGGTTTGATCATGTGGTATTTTACCTGCAGATGTCACAATGCAGTGGATTCTTTAATCTTCATCAGGTGATGCTCAATATCCAGGTGGTGAAGCTATAGTAGCTGTGGGGTCATGTGCACCCATATCAAGCCAGCGCACAAAAACAATGCAAAATAACACGCAGCATGGTAAATGTGGAAGAATAATCTCAGCTGATGCTACTCAAAGACCTGTTTGCTTTGTGGTCTTAAAACAAGAGTGTGCAACTGCTCAAAAAGCAGTGTGTTATTGGCTCAGCACATATGTATATATGCTCAGCTTCCCACTCATTTTGTTCACAAGCGGTCCGAACATCTTTGCCAGTCAGTCTGTTGTTGTTCTTCACTGATCAGCCCCACTGCATCAGCAGGACGTGCCTTGCTTAAGGGCATCTGCTTCGCGGAGAAGAGGGCAAGGCTGTTCATGCAGACAATGCAGAGGATGTCTGGTGGTCTCATTGTTAAATTTACACTTAATCCAGGTCTGCAGCAGCTCAGGTTGAAAAAAAAAGCCCAACAGCAACAACAACAAAACACCTGCTGGAGGTGGGGTTGGGTGCGGTGCCCCCCCCCCAAAAAATAAGGAAAACTGCAACACATCCATAAAAAAGTCCTCTCATGAAGACAAAAAAGGTAAAAAAAAAAATGTAGTGAACTAGATGATTTCATGTTTCAGAGCTGAAAATCTGCAGCATTTGGGGTCAGATTAGAGAAAGCAGCATGACCTTTTAACCACCACCATGCTGAAAACACCTGCTGCACGCATCTGGGCCATCAGCTGATGTAAACCGAATGGTTTTTAACATCACAACTTTCATTATGAGTGTGTCTACGTGAATCTTTCTCGCACGACTAATATGCGCGCAGTGTTTGCATGCACGAGGACAGCACTCACATGCACTTGTAGTCCTCATTTGAATGTGTTTGCGCGTGCCTCATTAAGAGGTGCGCTTCCACGCAACCAGCCCGCTCACCAATGTCACCTTCATGGATGGCTCCATCGTAGGAGCATCCTTCAGAATGTAACAGATTAGCTTTGCAGGCAGGGATGTTGATTAGGTCATCACTTCCCAAGGTCACACCTACACACATCTAGCAGCAGGCCCGCTGCCGTTAAAGCCCCCCACCTCTTCAGATCCTATAGAGCCTTGATTCTACCTCCTGCCTGCGTGCGGATCTGAATAAGGCCGAATAAGCCATATCCAACAGGATAAGCCTTATTGTAATACTCAGTGATGGAACAGGCTGCTTCGGCCCCTTCAGGCTTCCTTCACCCTGAACAGACTTAAAAAAAAAAAAAAACAGCTCTGTTACATTACTTGAAGCATTTCTAAGCTCCTGCAGACTCTTTAATCTAACACGGACCTTCAGCATGCTGCGCAGTTGCCAGCTATGTTATGCAGTGACTGATGATCAGTTCAGGTGTTCTTCACAATGAATCTGTATTCTCAAGACAACGCTAAATTCCTTAACTCTGGACCTTTTTTTTTAAAGGGCTTGGGACCTATGTTTTTATGGCCAAAGTAGATTTTGTTGGCATAATAAAGACACCCCTCACCAGCTCTTTCTGGGTATGGGTGCTAGTGGTGGGGAAGGACAAAATAATAATTGAGCAAAACATTTTTTACAGTTCTTATCACTTTGCAGCTGCCTTTTTCAGTGAGCACATCGCCCATGTTTTATCAGACCGAGATTCTCTCCCCTAGCAGTTCCTCTTGGGGTTGTGCAACTGTTTGGCGTTAGTGCAGCGAGCGCGCAAAAGACGGACTTGTATCTGTGCGCGTACTAATTTTCCTCCACTGATTCTCTATGGGAGACAAATCTCCCTGCTGTACAGTGCTACATCTCTTTCTTTATTCCCCCTCCCCTCATGAGACAATGAACACATTGAGGCAAATCTGTTTCCACAGCCTGTGAATGAGAGACAGCCAGCTTTGTTTTGCATGAGTGTCCACACACACGCATATGTGAGTGTGTGACAGATAAAGCAAAAGAATTGTGTGCTTGTGGCGCGGACACACACGTGTGTATCCAATGTGTACGAGGCTCCTACGTCACGCGTTCGCCATGTGACTCACTTGGTGTGGCGCAGGGGTTTAAGTAGTGAGTAAGAGCCATTCTTCTCCCTCATACGTCTCCGCTCGCACTATCTGAGGCCCGGACGCGCAACACTTTCCCTCCGCCCCTACTCCATCTCTGTTCATTACCCAACAGGTTGCTCTGTCAATAATGAACGTGTGCGAGTTTGACATCTGAGGCCCATTCAAAGGGAGACAAACATGAGAACAATAATCACCTGTCCTTTTGTTATTTCAGGAAATCAACAGAATACACATGTGAACATTTTATTTCTTCCCTTTGTTGGTTTTTCATAAATCTCATGAGAAAACATGATTATTGTTTTTGAATAACAGCTCTGTCTGGGATAGTCTTTATTTTTTGGTAACCTGCTGGGATAATTGCAGGTGAGCCATGGAGGAGATAGAGCACAGTAGTGCAGAGATAGGTAAACACGCAAGTGACGTCTGTGGTCGATGACTAATGCTATATAGACTCCAGCGCTTTGTCTTGTGAAATGCTGGGATAAAGGCTTTGTGAGGGTTCTGCAGGTTAGCTCTAACTATTGTGAGCCATAAAACATGGACACATACTCTTTATCAAAGTGGGATATTACTCCTCGTAGTGCTCGCACACCTTAGTCCTGGGCGGGTGGCTGTATGTCGATTTCGAGCCAAAAAGCCTTTGTCATATCTAAACTGTCAGTGTCACAGGAGTTCGTTTGCACGGCCATCCAGAGGAGACATTTTTGTTGCGGTGCACAGTTTTTATTGGACCTATTCCACCATCTAGTGGTGGTGCATCTGCTGTTACCTACCGCAGCTGCACGAGTCCCCGATGAGAACACAAGAAGTGAAACAAATTGGCAAATGAGGAAATGCAAATGATTAATATTTTTGTCATTTGCACATTTGATTTATTTATTTTCAGAAACAGAGTGTACTAATTGCAAAAATCTTTTTTTAAAAAACAAAAAGGCAGCTTTGGGTGAAACTACATTGGCACAAAATGAAGAAGTCAAATGTAGAGAGGAACTAGAAATAAGTTCACCTTCTAAACAAAACACTGAGGAGTTAAAAAGAAGTTAAGAAGAACAATATTTAATTAAATAGTAATTAATTCAGTAGCACCTTGTTGATTGCAAGGCCGCTATCATATACCGACTGCATCACTTGATCCCCAGCAGATGTAGAAATATATTCCTTCCTCTTCAAAGTCACCATATAGTCAATATCTGCAGTGTTCCACAGTGCCACCGAGATCAGTTCGGGTGGGGGATAGCTGTTTTTATTTGGAAATATTGTCATTTAATGCACAGCCCCCTGTTGAAAAGCAGCACCACTTGGAAGTGTATTCAGCACTTGAGACTTCAACAGATTCCATCCTCATCCCATCGCGTCTCCCTCTTCTTCATCTTCCTCAGGCAGGCTCCCGGGACAGGGCTCCATGGTAACAGCGACGCCCATGCCGCTGCGTCCAACGGGCATGTCTGTGATACATGTCCATTCATTTCTATCGGGACAGTAGCATTCAACGCTGGACAGAAAGCCGTGTTGGTTAAAACCTCCTAAGTGGGACACACACACACACACACTATGATTAGCAAACATTTGCATCAATAAATAATTATTAATTATTCTGTCTTTAGGGGGTTTATTTGCGATTTCAGAACTAATTTACAAAACAGATTTTTAAAGAAAACTTTTCCTTTGTTTAAAACTTAAAACAAAAAGATTGAGTTCCTCCCAATGTGATATTTAATTTGCCAGCTGCATATCAGTTTACTATAAGCATCGGAACCACGCTTAACTTCATTTTATTAAATAACACTGAGTCAATGAGCCAGATTGGGAAGAAAACAGAGTGCAGCTCACTCTAGGGTAACAGAGCAACACGTACTGATCTGCCTACCAGTCAATGAGAGGGATTTAATTACTGAAGTAGTCAGTATTTAGAAGTGTGTGTTGCAACCCTCAGTAGAAATCTTGGAAGCGTTTATTACAGATATATTATCATGTAAACATTAATGACACTGATAAGAGCAACATTTTTCACTCAGCGCTTCAGATTCATGAAGTTGTATAATGTGCTTAATGCCAAGCATTAGAAACCCGACTGACCGAAGACGAAGATGCGTCCCTGGTGGACAGTGACTCCATGTGCGCTGCGAGAGTACTGCATCGAGGCCCTCGGCTCCCACGTATTCCTGGCTACGTTGTAGCGTTCCATAGTGGCCAGCTGGCTCTGCCCATCATAGCCTCCTATAGCATACAGGTAAGAGTTCACACACACCAAACCTGCAAGCACAAACAACACAAAAAATGAAATGTGCAACATAAACATGCCGCACAGAGTTTCTTGGAGAACATCAGACGAGAAGACTGAAACAACTCTCATGATTAGTCATCTTAACAGAAATCGGAATTATTTTAATCTGTACAAAGGCAGACGTGTAAAAAAAGAAAAGAAAGAAAGAGCAGGTTGCAGTTTTACACTTGGTTTGTTAGGCAAGTGCAGTGGAAAAATAACATGTTACTTAGTGACTTTTTGAGGTGCTGATAGGTCAGATTTTATTATCTTGGGAGAGCACAAAGTTAGTGCTGTCCCTCTGTTTCCTGTTTTATACTAAGCTGCCTGAAACCTTATTTTGGGCAAAGGTCAGAAACAGTAAAGACTATGTGAGAGTCCTAAAGATAAGCGTGAAAATGGTGAACACTAAATGTGTCTAAACCTGCTTCTCATAAGAGCCAGAAATGCCCACAAACTCACCTAGTCCGCTGCGTATAGTATTCATGGGAGCCAGCTGTTGCCAGGTGTTAGTGTCAGGCTGATATTTCTCAGCTGTGTTCCAGCGGTTCTGTCCATCATAGCCCCCCACTACATACAGGGCCCCCCCGCACACCGCCACGCCGGCTCCCAGGCGAGCAACCGACATTGGACAAACAAAGGTCCAGCGATTAGACTCGGGATCCCACCTGCAAACCAAACAGCATTTGTGCAGAGCACTTAGTGCAATGATAATCTGTTGACAACTCCTAATGATATTACATATTAGTCAATTGACATAATTAAATTAATGTATCAGCGGCGCAAACTTTAAACCGATTCGGTGCGAAGCGGCCGCGCGCGCCAACCCTCTCGGTCTACACGAGCAGTCAACTTTAAGTGGATTAGGTTAAGCTGGCAACTGTGTTTGGCAACTATGAAGAAGCTGTACTTGAAGCCAAAGCTATCGCAACACCAGCGAGCGTACAGAGAGACAAGAAAGTCCAGTCGTGTCCTTGGAGAAAACCGGCTGAATTAATATAAAAACAGCTTGGGATAAAGAGTGGCAGCAGGAGGAAACAGCTGCTCAATCCAAGGATGGGAAAAAAAAAAACCCTGCCTACCAGCACCTGTAAAGTAATTTACCAACAAGATGCAAGAGCTATATCAATCTTCATGTCTAGCTCTCAGCAGAAATAATATATGTATTTCTATACATTTCTTGCATAACAACCCACAGGACTCTGTGGACCCACAGGCAAATAATGGAAGGCATGACAACAAGAAACAATCAACATGAGCAGACAGGACTTCTTGTACTCTGACTGGTTAATGATTAAAAGCGTGTTGGCACAGTTGCTGGCACTGGTCGTATTCCAGCTGAAAACTGCTGATAGGAGTGTGGCTTATATTGCATCACCTGTCCTTTAATGTTCGGAACGCGCCTTTGAAAAAAGCAGCACAAAAATTCAAGTCGCTCTTCGCTCTGACACTGGCCCTGCACTATGATCGCTGAAATTGCTGCATCTACAGCGAGGTGCGCAACAGCGGCAAATTAGGAGCAAGGAGGTACGACTCCCCGCCGAGTCTCCGGCATGTTGCTTGCATTCGTTTGGGAAGCATCCTCGGGAGAAGAGCCGTTACTGCCAACACTGATTACTATAAATGCTCTCGTCTCCTTTGATGTGTTACACTTTCAGTTTTCATCTCAATACTTTTATCAGCTTTCATTATATTTAGCAGCTTCTCAGAAGAAGATTTCCAACTGGTTTCTGATGAGCTCTAATAATTCTCTGCTGACTAGCATCTTTAAGACATTTTTACATTTCAATCTATTAAAAAAAGTGTTTAAGGTCACATTTGAAGTAGAAAGCTAATAATATCAATAGAAAGTGCCATTCTCGAGACTTTCTGTTAGTAATCTAACCTACATGAAAGCATTATATCGCCTTCTTGCAGCAACGAGAGGTAAAGTATACGCAACCAGATCTACATTCCTAAGAAGTTTGTCTGTACATGTTTTGAAAGACCTCATGTTTTTGATGTTATGTCTAATTAGGCTAAGAGGAATACCAGCAAATTCTTCACTGCTCTTTAGCTTGAATAGCAGCCATTCATTTAATCTCTCTGGTGGCAGTCCCCATACGTGCGTCGAGGTAACTGCGCTTCTAAAAATCTGCATCTTAAAAAGAAAATCTGTGCTTCCACATTCAGCTTATTAAACACAACTTTAATGAAGTCAAATTACTTCTCGAGTGTCGAGTTAAAGACATAAATCCTCAAATAACAGCACAGAGATGTCTCACTTTTCCACCGTGTTGTGGTGTATCGAGCCCTGGGAGCCTCCGACAGCATAGATGCAGCCATCCGCCACGCCCACCCCGACCCGGTTCCTGGGGATGTTGAGGGAGGCTCGCTGGCTCCACTGGTTGGTCATGGGGTTGTAGCAGCTCAGGGCGTTGGACTCCGTGTTGGTTTGAAGTGACAGGTTTCTGCCTCCAACCTGCGTTTAAGAAGTTTATGTTGAGAAAAGTGAAAAGAAAAACAACCCAGAAATCACACTCACTGGCCACTTCATTAAGTACACTTTTTGTGACGCTTGATATGAATTTCATTAGGCGGTTTTGACCATGTTTATCTCCATAACTGCTGACATGTGATTGGCTCATTACATATTTTAATTTATGTGGACTTGAGCAGGTGTACTGAATAAAGAGTCCAGCAAGAGTAACTCTGACTTTACTGCATTGTATCTGATCTCTGCGAGTTGTTCACAAATTAAAGCTCATTTCATTGACCGTATGATAACTGATGCAACATACAGTGTAGAGCAGTCCGAACAGTGCGCAGGCTCCCAGACCACTGCATGGCATCCCCATGTCAGCCAGTTTTATCCACATATTCCTCCTTGGATCGTAGGCCTCCATGGATGCCAGAGAATGCTGCCGGTATCTGAACAGACAAAAGAAAGTAGTGACTGGCTAGTTACTAAGATGAATGTCCAGAGTAAATAAACAGCTTTTCATGAGAGCTTGTGACATAACTTTGAAACCTTTGTTTGTTATTTGTATAAAGGTTAAAAAGGATATAAAGGATCTTGTCATATAGAGACACAAATACCAAAGACATAATATGGTGATTCGTGTATGCATGCAAAGCTGGTCTCAAAATTTAGTCTTAATCAGTAGGAAATGTGAAAATAATACTCCAGTCATTATCTGCTCTTCCTTATGTCAATACGCACTGATTGCTATGATTGTGTCTGTGTTTCCACAACAGCATCATCCCATAAAACAGGTCTATGAAAACAGAACAACATGATCATTAAAAAAGTCAATACAGCTCAATCATCAGTTAGAAGTTTACGCAGACAGGATGATTTCTCTTATGATAACACCAAGTCGAAAAACAGATTTTTCTATGGTGGATAGGAGCCCAGAAAGCAGGGCTACTCTGCAAGGAAGACAGACTCTGTAACCTGCTCTGCAGTCACCAGATGGCAGACTGAGCCACTTTCTGAATTCTTGATAAAAACACAGTCTGAGCTCATTACCACGATAGTGTATTCTCTGATAATAATAATTAATATATGACAATCAGAACCTCAAAACATTTGCTGCAGCCAGTCATACATGTTTGCTGAGCATACACAGTGTTTGATAACTACCCGCCGGCCACGTAGATAAACTGAGTTCCCCGATTAGGAGCAGGAGGAAGCTTCCTCAGGGTCATATCCTGGAAGATTTTGGACAGGAAGTCCTTACAGGAATTAGCCTAAAATTAAGACACAAAATAAAAAAAAATATGGGAAAAAAATGGGTCATATGGCTTTTTTTTTTTTTTTTACACTTTGATACCAAAATAGCATACTAGTTTTTATAAGTGCAGCTGTGGTTTACCTTGCTGAGGATGGGACAGGACAGCAGCTGGTTCTTCAGGAACTTAGGTGGCAACGCATAGATGTGAACTGCATTCAAGAGGGCATGCAAATAGGGGGCTCTGCTCTCCATATCCCAGCGTACCCAGTCTGTGCAGGCTTTATACACCTGATGTGAATTTTATTCAAATATATCAATGCACATTTTGTTATTTATGTCTAATAGAGAATCTAACAGGAGATTCGTTTAAGTATATTTTTGAATGAATACCATTTGTGAATGAAATGCCTGTTGTATGGCTCTCAATCAGATTTCAGATTTTTATTTTAAGGTCACACACCTCAGACTCACAGAGCACCTTGAGACTGTCCTGACTGATGAGCTCCAGCAGCTGGCAGTGAGTAAGACTGAAGAATTCCTCTTCTTTGGTCACCTTCAAAACAGATACTAAAGCTAGTTAGTCTTCAGAACAGGTTACTGCCAGATTGGACTTGTTCGCATGCTCTCCACCCTTGGGTGGAGTTTGGCCTGCTATGCCAGTGCTCACAGATAGGAAAGGTGCCGTTTCACAAGATTTTGTTCAGATGTCTCTCTGAGAGAAAATAGATGTTAAGAGAGGCATTTTAATGCATCCAAGTATGGCTGTTGCACCCAGCTCAGATATAGGCTCAGCTGATAAGTACAGAAGATGATCTATTTGCCTAGGTGCAAATAGGCCCTCTGCTCCTATCCATTCCCAGACGCGCATTTTGGTGATGTTGCTAGATCAGGTGACGTTCCCCTAGTCTAATTTTTAAAAACAAAGGTTCTGCCCCCAACAACGGTGGCAACAATCAGGTTCTAATCTTCAAAGTTCACTTCCACTGATACCATATAAACCGCCACATGGGTGCAGTTGTGTATAAGAGTAACCTGAGACAACCACGAGTACTGCACTTCAGCATTTTTAATGCTCAACTTCTTTTTAGCTACGTGAGAATAATTTGACATAAAAGACACCGTTTCTCATAAGAATAACTGCACGTCCAAGCTGTTGCATGTGCCGTTACCTCACTGAAGTGTGTATTGATGTACTCCCGACTCTGTTGATGGAGTTCTGTGCAACCGATCTCCTCAGCGAAGCGGGAGATGCCAATGACGTTAGCTGGCTCTAGGTGTTTAATCAGATAATCGCAGCATGCCTTTGCCACATCCTCCATCTGATACCTTGCAGGATGTAAAAGAAGCAGAGGAGCATTATAGTCTTCACCTCAAAATATGACTTAACACAGTGGTCTGGGTCTAAAATATGTTTACCTCATAGCAGCCAAAAGCACATGCAATACACACTTTTCTCCCACTGTTATGTGAGAGGTGTAGGCAAAGTCAATAAGTCTCCCGACCACCTCAGGGCAGACATCACGCAGGGTGACCTCCGAAGCGTGACACTCCTTGAAGCTGCTGGTAAACATGGCTCTGAAGTAGGAGCTACAGGAGGCCAGCACAACTTTGTGAACCTGAAAGAAAAAGGTTGTGATGATAATGAAACACTGGAAATGTGCTCAACAACTGAATGACGAGCGATCCAAGACAAATTATGAGCTCATTTTGAATTAGACGGCAGCAACAAAAAATAGTTGGAACTGGGAGAACAAAAGGCTGAAAATGAAACGTAGTTAGAGTAATGACAATTGTTCTAATGTGTGGATTTTGTGTGTGTGAGTGTGATTCAGCTTCGACCTTGGCAGATTAGTGTCTCCAGTGACTGAGCTAATGATAAATCCCACTGAAGTAAAACAGCATAAACTGCATGAGACATGAAGGAAAGTATATTCATATGTGACTGAATATTCATTCGTGATGGAGTTAATGATAGGTCACATTGAAGTACAACATAGAAAAGAAGAAACCATTGTGATCGAGTGGTTTTGATGTTTGAATTTGGCTTTAAATCTTGTATGTGAAATGTCCCAGAGAGAGTGAGAAGCAATAGGGTGTGACTTAAAATAAGGAGATTGTGGACACCAAAAAGAGCAAAAGACGATAAAAGAGGGCTCCTAGGAACATTCAAAGCTGTTCTTGCTCTAGTTTCTTTGTGATAGGCAGTAAACATCTGGCCCTGGGAGTCCACAGTTAGAAATTACAGCAAGAAATGCCAGAGGAGCAACCACTGCCCGAACACTCTGGACTCATGAATTGGTTTTATATTTCTTGGCTTTTCCTCTTCTCATTTTTTCCGTTCTTTATATTATAAAGTCAAACATGCAATTAACGTTGTTAATTAAATCACTTAATAATAATTACGTAAGTATAAGTATAATTTATTTAATTTGGCTTTTGCTTTGCTGCTGCTAAATTGCGTAAATTAAATATCCTGCATTCAAAAAGTCTAAATTGTGGACATTTCCTTTTTAATCCCTTGTGAAAAAGTAAAGGTTAAAACCTGTGTATTATTATAAGATCGCTCAAGAGGTTCTTACAAGTTACTCTAGCCTTAAAGATTAACAGATCCTCTGGGCCTACTTTTCCAGACCACTAAATGTTAACTAACTGGGCTAAGAACTGCACGGATTTAGAGGAGAGCTGCTGATAACAGGTATGGCTGAAGGTAGAGGGCTTGACCAGAGGGCCACCCTGGCAAGGACACTTTCAAAGGAAGTAAGAACGACATTTGGAGGACTGAGAAGCAGGTAGAGCTGGGCATGTCTCCTCCCCTGCCTAGTGGGTAATACTCATAGGAACAGAGACTCACAATTTTTAAACAGAGAGGCGGTACCACACCTTCTTGTATTGGGGTTGGGGGGTTGGATGGATGGGACAGTGAACACAATTCACTGTCCCATCCACAAATGGTGCAAAGGCGCCATATGTGAACACACATCCCGTTTGACCAAAGCTCATTTTAATGGATCTCTGATGATATCAGGGTGCATTAGTGCCTGTGAAATAGCCAGATCAAACATCTGGCAAGGCACCATCAATGCTGGAAAATGTATAGAGGTTACATATGCTCCCATTCTGATGACGTCTTTTTTTAGGAAGGGCTTGCATATTTCAGCAAGACAACGCAAAACTGCATATCGAATCTATTCCAGCTGCATGGTTTCATAGTAGAAGAGTCTTGGTGCTACACTGGTCTGCCTGCACTGAAAACCTTTTACCAGCTGAAAACATTTGGAGCATCATGAAATGAGATAATAAGACAAAGACGACCCAAGACTGACGAGCAGGTAGAATCTATATCAGACAAGAATGGGACAACGTATCTCCCAAAGGTTCAGCAGCTGATCTCCTCAGTTCACAGAGGTTTAATGAGTGTTGCTAAAAGAAAAGGTGGTGCTACACTGTGGTGAACATGGCCCTGTCCTTTTATTGAGACATGTTGCTGCCATCGAATTCAAAATACCGTCTTACAAATGGTACAATTACTCAGTTTGAGCATTTGATGTTTTCTGCGTTCTATTGTGAGTAAAATGGGGTTTATAAGATTGGCAAATTGTTTTTAACGCTTTAAAAAAAATGGGTTCACATTAATAGGATCATTAATATGAATCATTTTGAATAATTATTCACTTATATATTAAATTTGTCCGAGAGCCTTTTATTATATTTGGCGTGCACTTTGCAAGTTTCTAAAATGGAAATGGAAAAACTTGCTGTCACTGCGTGTGGTTTTTCAGCAGCACTTTTTAAATACTGACCTTTGTATTAAATTTAAATAGTCATAAAAAAAAATAACCCAACAACACAAACTACACTATGATTCTAAAACTTCAAACACGACCCATTACCTTGAAGTCGACTGTCCTCTCCTTGTATGTGACATGCAGCACCAGATCACACAGCATTTCGTTCTGCCGGAACTCATCCATGGCCTTCAGGGCCCTTGAAGCGTGGGTCTCGACGGTGTAGTCAAGATACCCAGACCCACGCATAGAGGGAACCACAATAGCTGAGAAATCCGAGTCGCATGTTGGACGTTTCTTCTTTTTAGGGCAGTGCATTATGGGGAGAAAGCACTTTAGATCTAGTTTTTCACTGATACAGTCAAATGTTTTTAGTTCTTATCCCATTGGATTCAAACTTTCAACAGAGAAAGCTCCTTTGGTCTTCAACTCATCAGTAGGTAAAGGCTACAGTGTGCAAGTATCCTCAGTTCCTCCATTTTGCTAAAAAAAATTCAACACAAAAATAGTCTTTTAGCATGTCGACAACCCCCTGCGTAATAGTACATTCCATTGGTGATCACTGCTACAGCCAGCAGGCGAAGTGAGATGTCCAGATGCTGCAAAAGTTAAGCTCAAGTCATGCGTTTCTCTGCAGAAATACAGCAAGGAACCATATCTGTAAACTGACGGTGAACCACATAAGGCTCGCTCAGCCATGTATCCTGCCCTATCTGACATGACTGACAATATTTGTGTCACACAGTTCCCAAAGCAAAAGCAACGATCATGAAATTACTTTTGGTCCGGATTTGAAAGAATTCAGGTTTTTCCAAAGTAGTCCATTCTGACGTTTTCAAACGTCTTCTGCCATTTAGCGTTTTTACATGAAAAAAGGAAGCGGTTGGCACATGTGTGCAACTGCAATCAGTTGTATCATAGCAGGGATTCTTCTTCAACTTATGTGATGCTTATCCTGGAGAGAAGAGGGTAAAACAGAGAGAGAGAGAGGGTGTTAGGAAAGCTGAGAGTTTTTCAGTGATTTAAAAAGAAGGAAATATAATCAAGATCTCCGGATATGGCATTTTTTTTCTTATGCGTATGTGGGTGTGTTACTGTGACACACTGTGGGTTTCACTTCCTTACAAATGAATCCGAAAAAAACGTGTTGTGACGAACTGCTTTATGACACAGCTTTCAGCCGAGGAAATAATCACTGTGTTTGTGATTTCTTCTAAGATTTTCATAACTGCAGGTTAACAGTCTGCATATAAACCAGTTATCCTTGTACTTTTTTGTTTTTGTGTTATTTCATTTCTATTGCTTTATTTCATTTTTGGCTTCCATATGACTAAATGTGATATTTTATCCTCATAGAGTGACATCTGGCTAAATACAGATTTGTTAGGACAATATTTGTTAGGACTGATATTTAAGAGAAGTGAAATTACACAACCAGATAATGACTTTCAAGCTATTGTTATCATTGTCCTTAAACTTTTTTTTTTTTAAACTGGCAGGAGGTGGGGTACACCCATGACCAGTTTAGAACCACCAGTAAGCCTGAGTGAGAGTCCTTCAGCTTCCCCTATAGTATATATAGATTTTTATCATGCTACCTGAAGATAATAATTAAATATAGTTATTAAAAGAAAAAAAAAGCAACTTTGATCTATCCAAATGAGTCATCAGGCACATGCTAATTTTTAACTTGCATATTTTGATGGATGTGGTATATCTTGCTATTTTAACGTAATACTGACCTGCCAGATTGGTCTATACATGTTTGGAGAATGACGCTTATTTTATTTTGTTTTGTATTTTTTATCCACTATTTAAGTGAATTCATTTTTATACATAGCTCCCTGTTTGAGAGGCTCAAAAAAATCGAACTTGTATTTCGCATCTTTCACTGGAACTCTCAATATGCGATTTAAATGTTTAAGTTGTAATGTTTAAGTTCGCTATCTTTTTGATTAGTCTGACAAACCAAAATAAACCTATCAGACAGATAGCAAAAAACCCTTAGGTGTGGCCGTACCCTATCAGAATTAATCTAAAATCAGAAACTTGGACAAGGTCTGGTCAGTAAGCTCCAACATCAGGCATTTGCCTCACTGAAATCACTGACACTAAAGACCAAGCAATGGTGGAAGCGTGAGTGACTGCCATTTGTCTGGAGGCCAATTTGTTTGCCCAAAGTTTTGCTTTTGCTACAGGGTGTCCTCTCAACTTACACACTTATTTACCTCTTATGTAAGAGATCTGCAAAAGGTTTTGTGTAACAGATTTAAAGACAATTAGAAGAATTAATGCATTAAGCTTTCAAATTATGAAAAAAAAATGCAAGTAAATAAAAGACAAAAACAATTATTTTGTAGCACACATCTTTATGCAGAACAGCACACCTTGATCAGCTACTTGTCAAGCAAACAGTAAAATGTCCTGCATGCCAGTGTCAGTTGCTGCTGCTCCAGCTTCAAGCGAAACAAATCAGCTCATGAGGTGGAGATGAAGAAAGGACTTTTGTTATCTTGCCTGGTAGATATAGTGCATTTGTCTGTGTGAGAACCCTTGGAATCATTAAACATGTAAGCATTAAAGCGGACAAATCAAGGCCCCGCTGAAGGCTAAACCATGCAAGATCCTTTTGACTATTATATGCAAAATGTCACCATTTGCAGCTTTATGGCAGCACGCATGCATGATTAAAATACTATTGCCACACACATTTTGGAAGATTTTTTTTTTAAGTCAAAGCAAAAGGTGGTTTAGCGATAAGGGGATTTGCAGAGCTGCACAATTAAATCTACTCAGCCACCAGCTACCTCACATCTCAGCCTACAGTTAGTCAGCCTGCTTGCTGGTCATATGACCCAATGTGTCAGACAAAGGGGGGGTAGGGCAGAAAAAATGAGATTTTCAGGGAAGCACACCTTGGGTAAGAGAGAAACACTGATGACAGTAAAATGATGGAAAAAAAAGATAAGAGGGGGAAGTCCACTCGAGGAGGGAGTAAAACAGTAACGCTGATATGACACTTGGTCTGACCAGTTTATTGATTCTAGCTAGATATGAAGGTTCTGTTTGACCGAGGTCCTCACCGGTAGCACCGCAGGTGGGAGTGCAGTTTAGTTTAGTTGCATTTAGTCATCAAATACCTCAATTTGATTTAAGGAGTTTCTTTCTTCCTTTTTCTTTAAAAGCAGTTCTGTGGAATTTGTCAGATGATATCATACTTTTGACACTAAAAACAAAGAGAAGCATTGAAGCCACTGATTCTGGCTGCAGATGAGTTTGCTTTTCATAAATCACACGCCATTCTTAGTGCAGAATTTCTGAGAAGAAACAAATGGGTCAGACAGTTAACCATTTACAGATTGCTTCCGTACATCCAGAACAGTAGAGTAACTGGTGCAGTCAGCACTTATGGCAAATTTCCTGTTGAGAAATGTTATTGAATTACTTATTTCAAAACTACCTTTTTAAACAGATTAAAACTGAAATAAATATCGTCCTAAACTGCTGAGCTGTAATAAGTGCACATCCTTGGAAATGTTTTGTAACAGTAGTGACAAAAGCACCTCTGCTGTGTCATCTTTGGTGTCACCATTGACTTTTCTCGAGTCAAATGTTGGTGATGACAAAAGCACATTTTCTGAAAAAAAATTAAAGGAAAAAAAGAGGAAGACTGGAGTTGAATGCCACGGGATGATTGTAGTGTTTTAAAGACTTGCAACATCTGTTAACTCAGCCATAACAGCCCAACAAGGAAAAAAAAACCCCCACTCGTAAGCAAGTTCTGCTGTGCACAGCAAGCTTGAATTTTGTAGACCAGTGCATGTGATAACACAAAGTCTAACCAATGTCCGATTGCACCTATGTGAGAACAGTGCAGGTAACTGTCCAAGGAAGTGAATGCCATGTATCCTGCTTTCTGCACAGAGCACCCTCACCTAAACCAAAGGAAGTATGCCTATTTCCAGATGTGATCCTTAATTTAATGTGTACTCTCTCTCTCTGGATAAGATAGCACCTCTACACAGTTGCTATGTTATTTTTATTTGAGTTACTGTTGCTTTCCTATCAGTTC